ACATACATGCAGGCAAAACACACATATAAAAGAAGAACAAATACTTCTTAAAAAAAATTAGTGGCAGTAAACATACATTCAGATCCAATGTCACAATCCAGGAATGAGACTGATAACTGGTTAACTTGACAAGGAAAGGAAGAAGCCAACTAGCATTTCTTGAATGCCTGAATACAGTATTTTACTTCACCGTTATTCTAATATGGAATAATTTAACTAAAAATCACTTAGGTTAGCCAAGCATGGTGGCACATGTCTTTGATCCCAGTCCTTAGGAGGCAGAGGCAGAAGGATGGAGGCCAGCCTGGTCTAAAGAGTTCCAGGACAGCCCAAGCTACACAGAGAAAAGCTTGTCTTGCAAAAACAAACAAACAAACAAAAAATCACTTAGGTTGCTGGGCGTGGTGGTTTACATCTTTAATCCCACCAGCACTTGGGAGGCAGAGGCAGGCAGATCTCTCTGAGTTCAAAGCTATTTATGAGCTGGGCGGTGGTGGTGCACACCTTTACTCCCAGCACTTGCCAGGCAGAGGGCAGCCTGATCTACAGAGAGTTCCAGAATAGCCAGAGCTACAGATAAAGTCCTTAAGCTTCCATTTCATGTATGTATGTATATATTTATTTATACACACACTTTACAACTCTAGACTGGAAAACAACAAAAATCCTTTCATTAATTTCTCATACCTCTTCAAAATTAAGATATGTGGGGCATTACACATAGCTGCTGGCTGCCAAAGAAAATACAGATGTAACAGATGTAGGGTTATTATATGTAAGCTGACTAGAGAGAAAAAAGTGTGGGTAGATTTCCAGGACAGCAAGTTTGGTCAAAGACATTCCCACTTATGACAGCTGAACAAACAACTGTATAATTACTAAGAAGATTCACCTACACACACACACACACACACACACACACACACACACACACACTTTTCTTTTTTTTTTTTTTTTTTTTTTTGGGTTTTTTCGAGACCGGGTTTCTCTGTGGCTTTGCAGCCTGGCCTGGCACTCGATTTGTAGACCAGGCTGGCCTTGAACTCAAGAGTTCTGCCTGCCTCTCTGCCTCCTGAGTGCTGGGATTAAAGGCGTCGCCACCACCGCCCGGCTCCTTCCCACTCTTAAAATTGAGGAAAAAAACAAAAACAAAAACGAGGACTAAACAAGTTGAGTGCCTTTACTCCTTAAAGAGGGGGTAACAGTACCAGTTTCGTAACTGCCAGTTAAGTCTTTATGCCTTTATTATTCTTTGAGGAATTCGGAATGTTATTTAAAGGGGCCACAATTTACTCCAGGGACTGGAGTATATTTTCAGTGAACGCTGACCTTTGTAGGAGTCTTTCTCAGCCTTTCTTCCCCAACACCCTAACACTCATGGCGCATTGCTACTTCAAAAGTGAGGGCTTACCATTGTTCTCAAGTGGCCTTGTACTAGCAACGGCACTACACTCCCCCATCTTTCCCTCCAATCACACACAAAATGAACTTTCAAGACATTGTCTCTTTAATAACCTGGCAGTAATTCAAAGCATAAAAAAAAAAAAAAAGTTAAGACTGTTCCTTTTACAGGCGATGCCCATCACGACAGACTCAGTCACGTAGTAAGATAGGATTCCAAACAGCATGGGAAGGCTTCACTGCTCACGGACTGACGCCTTTGGTTATTGATAATCGGCCTGGGGTAGGGCAGCACATGAAAATTAACGAACCCTCAGAGAACAGGACGCGGTTGCTGGGTCATGAGCACCTTGAAGCGTCTCTTGATGGTGATTCGGTGTCTTGAGTATTTGTCGTCAGGGGAGAACCGAGCAGGATGGGCAGAGCAAGTCTGTTGTCCCATAGGGTCAAATTTCTGCTCGAGGAAAAAAAGAAAATGATCTCAATACATGAGTGGTGTGCTAGCAAGGGGACAACAAGAAAATGGGAAAGCTGAAGCCAGGAGACGCGGCGGTCAGAACAAGAAGTCGTGCAATGCCGGCATCTACCACGTTTCGGCCCGGACGTGGCTCCAAGCACCCGGCTGCGCTGGCCGGCGGCCGGTTCCAACTGTTCCTCCCACCTAAATTTCTTGTCCTCCCGACTTACAGCTGTTTTCTCCCCTTACCTTCAACGTATAGACGCGATCGCCCTGCTCGTTGAGGTAATACTGGAGAAACATGACTGCAACTCAGCACGAAGATCCTCACTCTTCCGCAGCCAGGCGCGTTTGCCTGGAATACACCGCCTCAACCGTGTTCGCCAACATCCTTCCCATCTGACCGGAAGTCGGTACAAGGCATGCCGGGAAATGTAGTCCATTTCTCCAGTCATATCCAGTTGACCAGAAGGGGGCACAGTGGAGCAGAACTTGGCCTTGGTCTTCCCAACTAGCTACAACCTTGCAAAGTTGCCTTGCAAAGAGCCATGGAATTGCCCACTGTGTGCCAGGGACTCCCAGACGTTGGGAGGTAGGGATGGGTGTGGGTTAAATGTTGATGCATCCAGTCCTGTCTTTACTCTCAAATTGCTCACCCATTTCAGAGGCATTAGTTTTGTAGTTCCTGGAGAAACAAGGGTTCCAGGATACTCAACCTCCTATATCCTAGGGAAGATGTAAGATTTTTTTCAGACCCCCACTTTTACATCCGGTTCCCCGCCCCATTTCAAAGTGTTGGCGGTAAAGAGTGCATGATGGGTATTCGATATTATGCAAAGCGAAAAGAACGTAAAGGTTTTCTTATGAAACTGGTGAATTTTGTTTTAGAGGCTGCACCAAGATTCAAACTCAGGACCTGACCACAAATTCATCTCTTTCTTACATGGTGAGTAGCGAATAATATCACAGTAAGGTAACTTTCTTGGAGTATTTCCAGTTTTTCAAAGATAAAAAGTCTTATAAGAGTCTAGTTTAGAAAAATTAAAATTAAAACCAAGATATTGCAAAATGACCATTGTAGCACTATTCATAGTGGCAAAAATATTGTAACATATTAAATTTATAGCCAGAAAAACTTTAGTTTTTTTTCTCTTTTTTTCTTTTTTTTTTTTAGTAATGAATATAGTTGGTTTACTTGTCGTCTCATAAGATATATTAAAAAAAACTAGGGAGTTTAACACCGGCTTGTAACCCCAGATGTCCGGAGGCTGAGGCGGAAGGATCTCTAGCAACCAGTAGGTTCAAGGCCGACCTGAGCAGTATTCGAGCAGTAAGACCCTGCTTTAAACTGAGAAACAAAAAGCCAAACGGTGTGTGTGTGTGTGTGTGTGTGTGTGTGTGTACACGTGTACACGTGTACACATGCACGAGATTTTGCGAGGGGCGGGAATGTACTAGAAACAGTTAATATCGGCATCTTCTGGCTTGGAGGAGGATTTGGTTACAGGGAAATGGATGGAAAGAATGCTTGCTGCTGCGTATTTTATTTTGCATGCCCTGGGTTTTTTGTTTGTTTTGTGTGGTTTTTGTTGTTGTCTACCGTTTAACACACACAGACACACACACACACCGAATTTTAGTCGTTTTCATCCTCCCATACCCTTTTATCTCCTTTTTTTCTCTTCAAACTTTTCTTAGTTTGACTTTTCAGCTATGCTAATCTATTAATTTAATGTAATTAATTTAATAACTTCAAAAAGTAATTTAGTGAAAGACTTTATGGTAATTTTAAGGCACCGGTTGTGACCAAGGACTCTAATTTATGCACTCAAGAGGCTAAGGCAAGACAGTCTTAGGTTTGAGCCTAGGCTACATAGACAGATTCTTGTCTCAAAAAATGAAAAAGGGACCGGAGAAATGGTTCAGTGGTTAAGAATGCCTGATGCTCTTGCAGAGGATCCAGGTTCGGTTCCCAGCACCCATATGACAACTCACAACTGGCTGCAATGCTCCAGTTCCAGAAGCTTTGACTCCCTCATCTGGCTTCTGGGGGCACCAGGCATTTACCCAGTTGCACAGTCCTACATTCAGACAAATATTCATATTCAATAAAACTGCATAAACCCTTCAAAAATTATTAAAGATTATGCCTTTTTAAAAAAGGTACACAGTACACAGTTTAATCCCAGTACACAGAAGCTAGAGGCAGGCAGATCTCTGTAGAGTTACTAGCCAGCTAGGGCTACATGGCTTACACCTCTTGAAACTAATATATATATAATTTTTTAAAATTTATTAAGTTTTTTTAGCAAATGGAAAAGGCTGTGGCTTCCATGAACTGCAGAGCTGCTGGGACTGGACTGTGTGGGGATTGCAGAGAGAATTATTTCTTCAGATAGATAGTTCCACTTGTAGTTCAAGCTTTTCTCAAACTCCTGCCTTAGCCTCCTTAGTCCTAGGACTACAAGTAGGTGGCAGTTTTTCACACCACAGCAGTTGGACACCCTAGATCATCTGAAATACTTCCATTTCAAACATTTGGTTTTCTCCATCCTCAACTATACAAACTGTGTGCTCTGAATTTGGCTCAGAAAATAGAGTTATTGTTGTAACAAGCCAAAGGCCCACCACTAATTTGTTATTAATAGTAAGCCAGTTACAGAACTAGAGGAACCGAAGGGCAGAGGATTAGATATGTTGTTGAAGATAAGAAGAATAAGAAACCAAAAGCAGAAACTACAGTATAATATTGAGAATCTGAGAAACAATGTACAAATTGTCGGGGGGAGGGGGGAAGACATCCCCCCCAAAAGAAAAAAAGACACCCAACAATCATGCTATCAAATGAACTTAGAGGGATTTTCTATTTTTTTAAAGGATTTTATTTATTTATTATGTATACAACATTCTGCTTCCATGTATATCTGCACACCAAAAGAGGGTACCAGATCTCATAATTGTGAGCCACCATGTTGTTGCTGGGAAATGAACTCAGGACCTCTGGAAGAGCAGCCAGTGCTCTTAACCCCCGAGCCATCGCTTCAGCACAGGATTTTTTACTTTTTGCTTACCTACCAGAACCCACTGTGTAATACCTCATCATTCTCACCATGAAATACCCTCTCCCCTCCCCCACTACAGAATGCCTGTGTCCAAGATTCTAATTCTGTTTTTACCCAGTCTTTACCCTACCTTCCTTGGAGATCCTCTGTTAGAGCTAGGTTACTGCCTGGTTCCTGGACCCAACTGTTTCATTCTGGAGGCTTCCCCACAGCCACTGTTGGTGTACCTAAACCTCAGATGATGGCTTCAGACAGAAGTAAGACTGGGGGTGGTGGAGAATGGAGGGTATCTTCCACCTGATCAAATCCCTGGAGTGTCAGATTTGTCCCTTTATCTAGGAACAAATTATTTAGGCTAACCTAAAGGGATGTGAGACATTAGACCCCACACAGGCATTAGGGAGCATAGGGAAGTAGATTTTTACCATTAAGAATGGAGGAAGCCTCCTTGGAAACAAACCAAAGTGCCTCAGGTGTAACACACTGAGTATAGGTAATGGACAGCAATTACCAAATTGATTCCCAGGAAGAGGTTGTACTTTAACATGCATGGGTTTATGTGCAGTATGGGCAACGTAGTCAGGGTTTCAGGGAAGACTCAAGATCTGTGTCTACTGGCAACTAGTGCCTGCTCTGGGACTTTGCCATGAGAAGGCCAGGCTGAGTCTTTTGATCTTTCGAGGGAAAGGAGGCTGATGGATGGAGAAGTGGGAATTTGGGTCAGGGGGACAGTCGGCTTACTTGGAGAGCTAAAAGTCTTTCAGGGGGTTATTCATTTAAGAGCCAGTGAATGGGGCTAGAGATTTTATAAAACTGATTGGCCTCAGATCTGAAGGCCTCTACCAGCCAGAGGTGGCTTCTTTTCAGTCCAGGCAGCAGGCTTTTCTTTCTTTCTTTTTTTCTTTCATAGTAATGTATTAAGGATATATCTAGAAGTTGGGAATTCTAAGCTCAAGGTTCCATCTAATTAGTGTTCTGGGGAGGGTACTTTTCGTGCCCCATAGACCATTTCTGGGCACATGTGTGAGCTCATGCATGTGTGTGTGTGTAAAATTTTTGTTTATGGAAATTGAATCCAGGGCCTTGCACATGCTAGACAAGCATTCTATGAGCCAAATCTGCAGCCCCTTATTGTACTTTTTAGTTTGAGGTGAGGTCTCACTAAGTTGCTCAGGCTGCCCTTGAACTCCTGTAACCCAGGCTGCCTTTGAACTTGTGCTCTTCCTGCCTCATCCTCCAGAGTGGTTCCTCCCTCCCTCCCTCCCTTCCTGCCTTCTTTCCTTCCTTCCTTCCTTCCATTTGTCTGTTCTTTTTGTTTTGTTTTGTGTTTTGAGACAGGGTTTCTCTGTGTAACAGTCCTGGCTGTCCTAAATTCACTTTTGTAGACCAGGCTGGCCTTGAAATCACTGAGATCCACCTGTCTCTGCCTCGAAAGTGCTGGGATTAAAGGCGCACACCACCACTACCCAGCCATGGGGTGGGGAGCAGTCTTTCTTGACTTTCAGAATGGAGAAGATAGGTCATGTTAGCCATAGTGAGATGTTTGGTTTTATTACCTATTGTGGAGCTAAGACCTTAGCAGCATTTCACAATGTGCAGAAATTGGCAGTTATAACCCAACCTTCTGTTGTGTGACTTAGATGAGTGTGAACATAAGTTTGTTCCTATTTCATGTCTCCTTTGTGGTCAGGAATCTGAGTAGTGCTGGTTTGTTGGTGAAATACTCTTTTTTAAAATAGGGAGAAGAACAGCATGAAATTAGGCCGATTGGCTTCTGTTTTTATCATTAAAAATCATGTGGATGTCCCTGTGGATATCATGTGGATACAGGCCCTGTTTAATGAAGTACACATTTGTGTGCTTATCCCCTGATCTGCCTGACCAGCATCCACATAGCTCGTCCCAGCAGGAACTGTGTTCTAGATTTCATTCTTCCTTAGTTTCAGCTCAATGCTATATTCTTCATGAGCCCTAAACTTCTAACATTAAGAAGCAGGACCACCTGTACTGCCAAATTTCAACTTGTCCAGTAGTTCCTGAAGGCACTGGAAATCTCCCTCCCTCCATGCCCATCCCCATCATTTCCTGGTCCTTATCTAATCCTTCCAGCTATTCCTAGCTGTTACATAATGAAGTTTCTGGGAAGAAAGAATTCAGGCTGCCATACCCTGTCCTGGGGACTGTACTTCTGTGAATGTTGACAGGGGACACAGAGCAGCTGGGAGCAGGTGGTTTCTATCTCATGGGAGTGGGCAGGATTAGTAGATGTCCATGTATGCTGGTGGAATGATTTTTTGGAGAAATGAGCCTTGTGAGTTCTGGAGTCATTGCGCCTATCCGTAAACTGCATCTTCTGTTGTTTGAGATGAGATTATTAGGAGTAAGAGGAATAGGGAAGGGAGGAAGAGGATGGACCAGTGTTTGTGAAACAGCCTCCCCAAGGACCCCATGAATGCTTTTGGGGGGTCTGGAACTTTCCCAGCACCCAGCCTGCTTGCACAACAGGTGTCAGTCCTATTTGACACTGTGGAGCTGGCAGGGGAGGCCTCCACGAGTATTTTGAAAAAAGCTCTCAGAGGCAGTGGCAGCTTGAGCTTGTTCTTCCTGGAAGACGCAGGTCTATGTGTCTCGTTGAAAGGGAGCAACTTCTTTAGCCTGGTAACTCAGGGGTAAAGGACTCCTTGGGAGACATTTACAAATCCACCCATCCATGTCCTCTCCTTCATGCATTAAGAGTCATTGCTCTGATCCCATAGGAACTAAAAGGAAGTCATGTGGCCTAACTTCTGGTCTCCTTCCTACTCCCTTCTTTTCTTTGTCTCAACAGCCTCTCCGTTACCAGGACCAGATATGGCCATGAAACCTGGTGCTGGCCTGCCCCCTTTCACTGGGCTTCCCTTTGCCCCACCTACTCCTGTGCCACCAGACCCACCCCTCTGGGAGCCATCACCACAGCCCCCCATACCTCCTGCATTCTCTCCAGGCAGTCCTCTGCTCCTTTCTGCTTTTCCCAGCCCATTGTTGGTGACAGGAGAAGGAGGCTCTGGCCCCAGTGTGGCTGGAACTGGCCAGGTCATTGTTAAAGTCAAGACAGAAGTGGGGCCAGCTGAGCCCTCTCAAAGTCAGAACCTTATAGTTACTCAGACAGCCCTGAACTGGATTACCTCAGGGGCTCCTGGTGGGGGCCAGGAGGGGCTGCCTCCTCCATATGTGACAACCTCTAGTATGAAGTCCACTCTGCCTGCTGTGGCTGTGGGAGTGAGCCAGGAGGGCCCTGCGGGACTTTCTGTGCAGGCTCTACCACCAACTGCCCAACTGGCTCCCATTGTGCCCCTGGAAAAGTCTTGGCCAGGAACACAAGCTGCAAACATGGAAGGAGGTCCAGTGGCTGCCCGGAAGCCCTCTCAAGGTGACCTTGCCTATGCTTCCAAGGGTGTTTATGAGAACTATCGTCGCTGGCAGCGCTACAAAGTCTTGGCCCGGACTCACCTATCCCAGAGTCCTGATGCAGAAGCTCTTTCCTGCTTTCTTATGTAAGTGGGGGTGGGTACCCAAGATGGATGTTCCTAGGGCTTTTAGAGAGGACTCTGGGATAGGCACTGGGGTTGGGTTGGGTTGGGTTGGGTTGGGTTGGGTTACTCCAGAATTCTTGAAGGCAGTTATGAGAGTGAGAAGACACTGGTAAGAGAACTAAAAACACTACTACATTCTTCCTGGCTTAGAAGAAACGTTAAGGTACTTTTCAAAGAATACCTACAACTTTGTGAAGTCAGACAAGCATTTTATGGTAGTCTTCATTTACAGACGAGCAGATGGAGAGACTTCCTGTCATAAAGCTGGAAGAGAGATTGTCCTGTAGGTCCCTGACACCAAATGCCAGGGCCCTCCCGCCCTCTGACACTGCTGAGCTGGGATGAGGTGGGCCAAGCCCTGACTCATTCCTATGGGATAGGGCAGATGGCACTGGGCCAGACTAAGACCTTAGCATATGTGAACCCTGTCTTACTCAGGAGTCAGGTGAAACAGGGGAGAGGATGGAGCACAGCTGGCTCCAAGCGTAGTAGATTTGGATCAGGAGAGGACATTTAACACCTTTGCCCTCAGTTTCCTCATCAGAAAAGGGGGTAATCAACCCTATCTCTGAGGGTTGATCAGATTAAAGGTGCTTGGCAAAGTTCCTGACACAGAATATGAATCACTTAAATAGTAACTCTTTTATTATTACTATAAAAAAAGCAATCTTAAAGAGGAAGGGAGCCCACAAAAGGCCAAAATAACCCTCCTTTTGAGTGTAAGTATGTTTAGCCAAGAAGCCTGGAGTTACAGACGGTCCTTTTTTGTTTAAACATCAGTCTTTAGTCATCTGGGAGATTTTCTCAACTTCCCAAGCAGACTGAGTATCTCTCAACTGCAGACCATTGAGTAAACACTGTTTTACCAGGCAGAGAGAAAGAGAGAGAGAGAGAGAGAGAGAGAGAGAGAGAGAGAGAGAGAGAGAAAGTTCCCTTCCAGTGGAAGAACTCCTTCATCTGGACTTTGGAGCAAGTGATCAAAGGACCACTCCCAAAGTCCTCAATAAACACCACTTTCCTGAGTCTTGGTTTCTTGAGATAGCGCTGAGTTCTCTCCTGGGACCTGGTGGATAGTTTCTAAATGTAGAACTAGCATGAGTTCTTGAGATTTGCTTAGGACCCATCCCCTTTGGTTTCAGGACAACTCCTGCTCCTCATGCTTCAGTGTGGTGGGTAGGATCTTATGCTAGGCATGCTTCAGACCCTAAACAGCCACCCCCATGGGAAGCTGATTAGATACTTAGTCCTGGGATCCTGGGGCTCAATAATCCGTAGTTATGGCAAGCTTTGCCAGGTGGCTCTCATACTCAGTAATGTTTGAGGACTTAAAGAAGCTAGAGAGGTGAAAATGAAGTCCTTACTTTAGTCTGCACTCTTGATTTCCTCTAGAGCCGTCCAGAAGTAATGGTCTAATATTCAATTTGAAGACCTATGATGACATTCTGGAAATAAAGAAAAAACCCAGTCTGCAAACCCAAACCCCCAAATGACTGCACATGTTTTAATTAGAGGCTCATGCTGGGTTAGTGAAATAAGTCTTTGACAATTCAAGAGGCCTTGGGCAGGGTTAAATCCACTTTCCAGTTCATAGTGCTCATTTGCAAACCCCAGTGTTTTCTTCTTACTGTCCAGTTAAGGTTAGCACCGAGAGAGTTAAAGATGGGTGCCCTGGTTGATTTCAGAAGGTCAAGAGGAAAATCATTTGATTTTATGTGATTTGAGCATCTAGATGGGAAGGGCTGCAAGAATGGCAGACAACTGGAGGGGAGGCTGTGGAATCTGGACATCTAATTAAAATGAAACAAGGCAGGGCCTGAGGTGCATGCTAGAGTTGGTGAAGGAAGGATGTGGTCTGAGGTGGGCACAGAACAGGTGCAGGGCACACTTGTACAATGTGTCTGACCTAATGGGGGTTTTAGCCCAGTGCTTCGTTCCCTGGCCCGACTGAAGCCTACTATGACCCTGGAGGAGGGACTGCCGAGGGCTCTACAGGAGTGGGAGCGTACCAGCAACTTTGACCGGATGATCTTTTACGAGATGGCAGAGAAGTGAGTTTGATGCACCCTAATTCACCCTGCAGGGGTGGGGGAGCGGTCGAGTGGCAGCAGAGACAGGCAGGTGTAGGTATGTGTGTGTCAGTGTCAGGGGCGGGCTGTCAGCAGGTAAAGGTGCCCACCACCAAGCCTAACAGCCTGAGTTTGATCCTCAAGGACCCACATGAAGGAAGGAGAGAAGTGGCTCTCAAAATCTGTCCTCTGAGGTTCACATCTCTCTCCTCTCTCTCTGTCTCTCTGTCTCTGTCTCTCTCTCTCTCTCACACACACACACTATTTTTTTTTTTTTTTTTGTTTTGTTTTCTTGAGACAGGGTTTCTCTGTGTAGCTTTGGAGCCTATCCTGGTACTCGCTCTGGAGACCAGTCTGGCCTCGAACTCACAGAGATCTGCCTGCCTCTGCCTCCTGAGTGCTGGGATTAAAGTCGTGCGCCGCCACCAACACCCGGTGCACACAATACATTTTTAAATGAACAAATAAAGGCGTGTCACAGGAGGAGTGCTGTAAGCTAGACAAGGTCTCCTGGATCCTTGCTGCTTCTTCCACTGAGGCTCTGGGGTTATTCTATCCTGTCTGCTGTTGACAATTCCCCTGCCTCCAGGTCTTGGATCCATATGTGGTTTTCATATTGAAAGGTATGAGAAAAGATTTGGGCCCAGTGCCCTCCAAATTCCCATGCTGAAGGAACCTCACCACGAAGGTTCTTTAACTCACTGGATGGCAAGTGGCTCTTGATGTGGAACTTCAGATTCACTTTTCCTTTCATGCTTTTTGTTTGTTTTTGGAAATAGCACACACAGAAAGACCTTTCTCACCCATCCCAGGCAGGAACTAATTCTGCAAGAGGTTGTCCAGGTGGAATCAGGGTACTGGACACCCAGAATGGTTCCCTGACTCTCTGTCCCCCAGTTCTACAGGATAGTCTTGGCCAAAAAATAACTTTGGCTGGCTGTGATGTGTGAGTCAGCACACATGACCTGATGAGAGTATCATGCAAGCCCAGGAGTTCAAGGCCAGCCTGGGCAACAACAGAGGAATCATTTATTCCAATTGTACCTTTACTTTCCCCCCAGAATCTGAACCTTTGGCTGCCTAGGTTTACCCATCAGGGCCTGTTCCAGCCTTTGCACTCTGGTGAGCTCTGCTTCCAGAATTTGGCCATCATTGTCAGTTGTAGAAAGGGGTGGATGGGGCCATAAAGAGAACCTGTAGGCCCTTGCACAGGCCAGACTGAACTCACCAAGCTTATATTAAATAGTGATGAATCCAGGGCACTGGATGAGATAGATAGGACACAGAAGTAAGGATGCCACTTTGTCCTGGAGAACTATCCAAGCTCTATACCACCAGTTTCATCAGTTTCTCTAACGACTGTTGAAGGTAAAGGGACAATATGTTGCTATTCCCCAGCATTGTCAATAGACTGACTACCTGTGAGCAGCTTCCCCTGGCTGACCTGACTTCTATAGTATTTAGTCAAAATGAGGGTGATTGTAGATGTTGCCTGGTGTCTTGGTTTCGGGTGGGCTAGGTCTCCTTCTCAGCTCACACTGTGCCCTCTTTACCCTCTGCAGGTTCATGGAGTTTGAGGTGGAAGAGGAGATGCAGATACAGAACACACAGCTGATGAATGGTTCCCCAGGGCTGTCCCCTGTAACCCCTTTGAAACTTGATCCAGGGCCTCTGGTCCCTGAGGCTTGCCAGCAGCCAGGTAAGGCTACCCACAAAGCAGAGGAGGGTCAGGAAAGGCATTATGGCTTTTGCTTTTGTCACCTTCTTTCCTGGAGGTGACATTTTTATGAGCCAAGCACAATGCTCCATAGGCTACTGGGGTCTTAGTTCCCTTTGTCTTGAATTAGCTATTGATCTTGGCCAAGTAAACTAACTACTCTCTCATGCTTTATCTGCCTAAGCAAGATTGGGGATAGGATCAGGCTGTTTCCAGCTTTTACATTTTTCTCCCCCAAAGCTTGACCCCATTCTGGAAGCATTTCTTGTACCCAGATTTCTTCCCTTACGAGAGCATTACTGGGAAGTAAATACCAGATTTCTTTAGCAACTCCCCATCTCCCCCAACTCAGTGTACATCCCCAAGAAGGCAGCCTCTAAATCACGGGCTCCCCGCCGGCGGCAGCGCAAACCCCAGAGGGCTCTGGTTCCCGAGGCACCCAAAGAGATCCCACCGGAAGCTGTGCAAGAATATATTGACATCATGGAAGGTCTGATGGGGAGCCACTTGGACACTGGGAAGACAGAGGAGGAAGAGGGGCAGCTGGAGGATGCAGGGATGTATCCAGATCCAAGTCTTCTGAGCTACATTGATGAACTATGTTCTCAGAAAGTCTTTGTCTCCAAGGTGGGCTAATTATTTCTTCTTCTTGTTCTTCTTGTTCTTCTTCCTCTTCTTTTTTTTTTTTTTTTTTTTTTTTTCCCTTTTTTTTTTTTTTTTTTTTTTTTTTTTTTTTTTTTGAGAGTTTCTCTGTAGCCCTGGCCGTTCTGGAACTTGCTCTGTAGAAGACCAGGCTGGCCCTGAACTCACAGAGGTTCACCTACCTTTAATGCTGGGATTAGTGTGTGCTACCACACATGCCCAGCTCCATGGCTAATTTCTAATAGATATTTGGGGGTTGGGCACTATGGGGCACCAGTCACCTGGGATTCTGCATATGACAGGAGGCTCCATTCTGTAACTTGGAAATGGGTATACCTGTATGCACACATAGGTAGGGATCACAGTTTATAACAAACTCCAGGGTGAAAGTAGGGACATGGGCTTCATCGATTTGTCTTTAGAGCACCCGGGCTTACAGGTCACTTAGTGTAAAGATTCACATTACTCTTTCTGTTCCCCAGGTAGAGGCGGTCATTCACCCTCAATTTCTGGCAGATCTGCTGTCCCCAGAGGAGCAGAGAGATCCTCTGGCTTTAATTGAGGAGCTAGAGCAAGAAGAAGGACTTACTCTTGCCCAGGTAAACGTGGGAGGCATAGGGCACCAGGAAAAGGAGCCTGCCTGCTTTTGTATAACCTTATGAATGGAGTATATGGGAAAGGCTGACAGCAGAGGAATAAAGCCCCAAAGCAGAAAAAGCTGCAGTACCCATCTTTGACACCACCACTCAAGCACTTGCCTTTCTTTTCTATCATCTCCTTTCACCCACTCAGCCACCTCTTCTCCTAACCATGTATAGAACTGGCATTTGTCCATTCCCTTACAGCTGGTCCAGAAACGACTCCTGGCCTTGGAGGAGGAAGATGCACAGGCACCTCCAAGTTGCAGCGCAGCTCAGTCAGACTCAAGTCCTTCTGTTTCTGATGAAGATGAAGATGGGGGTCGAAGGCCTAGGCCCTCACCTGGGCTTCAGGGGGCTTCAGGCACTGTTCACATTGGAAAATCTGCTTCTCCAGGCAAGCAGGCAAGAGAAATGTATGGTGGGCAGGAACAAGCCCTAGGTGGTTCAAGGGGGATTCTCAAGGATGGAAACACTCTGCCATCCTCTAGTAGCTGGGACCTGCAGCTAGACCTTGCAGCTTCACAGGGAATGCAAGTACCCTTGGGTGTGGAGAGAAAAGGGACTGGGAAAGTTATAAAACAGCTATCTGCACGTAATGATGGCCACCTGGGAGGTACTGGGTCCTCTGGGCACTACCCAGTGGCAGATAGGAATTCAGAGTCTTTACTTTTTTGCTGGCAAGAAGGTCCCCCGCCCATGAGAGCCTCTAATTTGGATGTTGCACTTACGGAGCCAGTTCCTCTGCAAGCACTTAGGTTAGAAAACCAGGCCTTGGGGGTGCAAATAGGACAACAGATTCGGCGAGTTGGGGTGCTTATTCAAGGGAGAGAAGCTTCAGCAGTGTCCCAGGAAGGTTCTTCAAGGGCCATGTGGAGAGATGACAGAGGTCCTGCCATGGTTCAGAGTTTTGATCAGAATCATTCCCCTGGAGTAGCTGGCAACCTGGACAGGGTTTCTCTCAGCCCAGAACTGTGGCTGAGCAGTGACATGGATGCTGTACGCATAGAGTTTCCCTTACAAATCCAAAGGGTCACAGACAGCACCCAAGATGAGGCATGTATAAGGAAGGACCAGGCACTGAGTTCCAGAAACAGTGTTTCTCCAAGTTCTAGAAAAACCACAGTGCCAGAGGATATGGGGAACACTGTGGTTCCCTGTGGAGGCCCAGATGTGACAGCTATCCTAGAAAAGAGCAACTCCTGCAGCTTGCCAGGATCTCTGATGGCCAATGGCCCAGCCCTGAGGTCCAAAGAAAATCAAGAGCTAAGCCCTGAGACCATACAGGATCCCAGTGACCTGTGGGCTGAAGGTTGCTCCCCACTGCTGGAAACATTTGACACCTCCACACTGGGGTCTTCCAAAGACACCCTGATCCCCACATGCCAAGACAATCTCCTTATTCTTGGGACCCAGGATAGCCTCTCTTTCCCCCAGGCTAGTCAAGAGGCAGAGAGCAGAGGTAATCTACTCTTTCCTCTGTTGGAAAACATAGAACATGTTAACATACTAGATGTTAAAAAGGACAGTGGCCCCCAACCAGGGCTCAGCAACAATTCCTGCTCATCAAATTTTAATTCTTATAACCTGCAAGGAGAGGGCAGGGAAGGTACTGTTTCCTCCAAACCTACTGACCTTGTTCCTTTACAAGGCAACCAAGGATCTTACCCACTTGAGACCAGCAAATCAACATCTGGCCAGGGTCTGAGAAGTACTTCCCCTAGAGGGGGAGTCAGGGGGGCTTTAGTTCTGAGAGAAATCTCGAGTAGAGAAACACATCACTCAGCAGATAGGGCCAAAGCAAGTGAGAGAGAGGAGGAAGAGGATGAAGAGCTCTCTAACTTTGCCTATCTTTTGGCTTCAAAACTTAGCCTGTCTTCAGGAGGGCTTTCCTTCAGTACTTGTCAGGCCTCTGGAGGTCAGGGAATCCAGAAAACATCCCACCTCTCTGCTGAAGTAGATGACCTTAGCCAACCTTCACCCCTTCCCCACACATCTGGGAGGCAAGTCCTACTTGGGGGTTCAGCTACTGCTGTAGAGAGACCCCAGCCTGGGAGTTCTGGACAGAAACCCCTTGCTCTAGGAATAGCGCAGCTCCCACAAACCCGTAAAAGGCGGCGTGACAGTTTTGTCACGAGCAAAAGGAAGAAACGACGTCGTAGCCAGTAGAAGCAGAGGGCTATCCTGCTCCACCTAGCAGCACTCCAATGGGGGGTGCCCCACAGCATATTTTACTGCTGCTGCTCCCTATTGGGGAAGCAGTTCCAGCCCAATGCTGTTTTTGTTCTGTGCAAGAAGCTGGAGCCCCTGGGGCAGAAGACCAGACTAGTTAGGCTGTGGGAAGTAAAGGGAAAGGAGTTTGGGAAGTTATATGAATAAATAAAGATTGTTTTTGGTTGCAAATTACTCTCTGTGTGCTCTTCTGTGTGAGCATCTTGGCTGCTATGTGGAATAAAGTATCACAATAAAGGTAGATTCTGAGGATTCCCTGAAGTTTTTTGCTAAGAATCACTTTCATGGCCATGCATGTTCCAAAACAGGAGACCCACACACTCTTTCTTCCCAAATCTGGCATCAGCAGGTGTGGTCCGGATACCCTATGATTGTGGGCCCCCTTTAAGTATACAGGTGGGGAAAGAGGCTTTTTGTGTCTGTCAGATCTCAGAAGACCTGATTTCCTAAACCTAATTAATTTTACATATGTTTGTCAAGACACCGAACCTTCGCTGGGGGTGGGGTGAGGACCTTTATTCCTTTAAGGGGCTGGACAGGAAGGGTTTATACATCCTCAGCACATGCTATTATAGAGAAGCACCGTGTGGTTGGTGTGACCTGGAGAAGACACTTGACTAACACAGATCTTCAAGTATGGGCGAAGGAATACACTCTCGGCAGGACTGTTAAATATGGAATAGTAGGAAGCTACATTTTCATCTTTAATGAGGACAGAGCATGTGGGAATGGGATGAGAAAGACATTCACGTTAAGTCTATTAAAATGTGAACATTTTGTAGGTGGTTAACAGGAGGGGAAGATACAAAAATCACTGTATGATTTCCATGAAGGAAATACTCCAATCCATTTGTGAGTGAGAGAATTCAGGTATGGCCAAGATCAATCTTTGGAGTTTTTTTTTTTTCTTTTTAGAAACACCAATGGAAATCTGACAACCATCTCTTTCCTTCACAACTAATGATTCCACCCACGGGACCGAGCTTCATTTTTTTAAATATATATATATATATATTTATATTTATATATAAAATAGTCTTTTACAAAAAACCCCACCAAACAAAAATTAAAATAAACTTAAAAAACAAACAATGAAAAAAAAAAATCAAACAGAAGCAGACACGGGGTTGAGGTGTAGGGTAGGCCTCTGGCGCTGTCCTGAGAGCAGGGCTGGAATCGAGTGGGGGGGGGGGGGCGAGGGG